CTTTGACCTCATCTTGGTATTTGGCCATTGGCTTTTCCCTCTGTCCTAGTCCTCTGTCCAACCAGAACATGCAAGTCACTGGCAGTCTCTCCCTCCTCAGCCTAGTGCCCAACCTTGCATCTCCCATAAAATAACCCCAGCTTACCCCTGCTATCCATCTCACATACTGCAGATCCTCCAGATATCGCCCCAAGTCGTGTCCTTCCTCCCCTCCTTCTAGCCAGAAAGTATTTCATCTGAAAATGCCAGTTCAAAATGTATCCATTTTCCAAAGACCAACTGAACTGCTACTTCTCTGGACCAGGTCTTTGAAGAAATGTTTTCTCAACAATCCCTTTGTAACCCCACAATTCTGTACTCTATGGACCTGACCTGTCTGTACCATTATTATTATACTCTGTCTTTATGTTTTACTTCTAATTTCCTAAATGGAAGACACACAAAAGGAGCGCACACATCTCACTTATCGTTGCATGACTCCATAAATTCTTCAGCTAGTGTACATTCAAATTGCTGAATCAGCCTCATGCGTTCAGCTTCTGCTGCCCCAGATTTACATAACCACACGATGCTTCTCCATGATTCAAAAATCAATAATTTTTTTTTAAAAGAGAATTTAGCTAAGTAAGAAAGTCCTAAAACAACTTATCAAGTAAACTCTGAGTTCCTGGAGATATACGGTAGTTTTTATAAATATGCTCAGTGTATTATGCTGAGCACACAAACATTAGTAGAAAACAGCAAACTAAAGATAAAAGAGTCTCCTTATTGCAGACATTCTTGGCTATTTCGATATGTGCATCTCCCATAAAGGGTACAGACATGACACCACGTTCTCCTCTTTACAGAACTCACAGGATTCTTCCTCTGAATTACATATTTGGAAAATGCTAAAATAAATCATATCCAATTGTTCATTTTTGCATCTTTTCAGATTTGCTGAAATGCTTGAGCTTATTAATTACAGCTAGAAAAGGCAAGAGGGGCATATTGGTTTTTTATCCTCTGAACTCAGTGAGTATTTTAAAACAGGTACCATTTATTAAGTTTTTCATCTGCTTGCCCTAGTTGTAATAACAGACCCAAGTTCAACATTCTATCAAGTTTCTTCCATACAATTTTATAAAGCAATAGTATCAAGCTACATTATAATTAGACTAGAGGCCAGGTGCACGAAATTCGTGCTCTTGGGGGAGGGCGGATCCCCTCAGCACAGCCTGCACCCTCTCACATTCTAGGAGCCCTCGGGGGATGTCTGACTGATGGCTTAGCGCTGCCACCAAGGCAGGAGAGACTCCCGCCACTGCTACTGCGCTCGCCAGTTGTGAGCCCGGCTTCTGGCTGAGCCGCGCTCCTCCTATGGGAGCGCACTGACCATCTGGGGGCAGCTCCTGCGTTGAGTGTCTGCCCCTGGTGGACAGTGCCTGTAATAGCGACTGGTCATTCCACCGTTTGATTGATCTGCACATTAGCCTTTTATTACATAGGATCATTCAAATTTTTAAATAAACTTCATACGTTAAGCTCAACTGGAAATGTTTCAGTATTTCTTTAAAAAAAATATTTTTTTTATTGATTTCAGAGAGGAAGGGAGAGGAAGAGAGAGATAGAAACATCAATGATGAGAGAGAATCATCCATCAACCCCCATCCCCTGCACGCCTCACACTGGGGATAGAGCCTCAACCTGGGCATGTGACCTGACCGGGAATCGAACCGTGACTTCTTGGTTCATAGTTTGATGCTCAACCACTGAGCCAGGCCAGCCGGGATCAGTGTTTCTTAGCTGCATAATGTTACAGAATTATTTTCTTACTAAATATTTGGTGGTTTTTTACACTCTGTTCATTAATTCAGAACTGGCATTTTCATTTCAAAAGCAAATAGATACTCCACCATGTGAAATAAATCCAGATTATGAATTTATTTTGTTTAATGTCACTCATGACTGACAACAGTTTCAAACAATATTTGGAGAAGGATAACTGAGTGTGGCTATTTATTTTTAAACTGTGTTTTGACAACACATGTAAGTGTCTCCAAGGAGGAAACAGAATTATAAGGAGAACACTGAGGGACCACTGCTCTGGGAATGTACATTAGCGCCATCAATGGCACCTGCAGATTTTCAACAGTGTTCAGAATTCAGTTTTACAAAATCCCTAGAAAAATGTAAAGAAAAAAATGATGTCTTATGCTAGTTTTTTACTGATTCTGTCGAAAATAAATATTAAAGAATCTATCGCGTGCCACATTGTGGTTACTGAGGATACTGCAGTAAACAAAAGCCAATCTAGATGCTGTCCCCAGGGAACGTATATGAAATAAACTAGAGACCTGATGCACGAAATTTGTGCAAGAGGGCCTTCTTTCCCCCGGCTGCTGGCACCGGCTTCCCTCTGGCACCCAGGACCTGGGCTTCCCTCCAGCCACTGGCAGGCACCTGGGACACAGGCTTCCCTCACAGCCCCAGCTTTGTCCGGTCTAATTAGCATATTATGCTTTTACTATTATAGATAAGTCATCTAGTATAGAGCTGGGCAGAGAAAACTAAAGTAACTAAGGGAGTAACGGGGTGGTGGGGGAGGGGCAGTGGTAACTTCAAATTTGGAGGCAGACATAGAGCAAGCAGTTAAGGGGATAGGGTACAAGCCCTATTACTCTCCGGGTAAGAGCATTCCAGGCAGAAAGAACAAGTGCAAAGGCCCAGGAGGGGGCTCCTGCTTCGTATTTCTTCTAGTTTTATAGAGAAATAGAAAAAGGTTTCTCTATTTTGTGATCTATCAGGATATAATTTTCTATTTGGGGCCCAGGGGAGATGGAAGAAGATAGTATAAGATTTTAGTCAACCATCTCATCTGCTTTGTGCTTCTATGGCTCACAGGCCAAATCTGGCCCATTGTCTGTGTTTATAAATAAAGTTTCATTGAAAAAGCCTCATTCATTGGCTCCCATAGCCTCTATGTCTGCTTTAACGCTACAACTGCTGAGTTGCTGATACCCCATAAAGATCACATGGCTGTAAAGATTAAAATATGTATTATCTGACCATTTACAGAAAAAGCTTGCTAATACCTTCTCTTGGAATTCAGAATGTCATCTGAACCAGTGCGACCTGCACCAAAGCAACATGTGACCATGAGCTAAGCACAGCTCGGTAACCTCTGCACAAGGAATGGGCAGGTATCCATTGTCTAACTAATGAGCATCTTAAACACCCTTCCAATGGCCAAAGTCTAATTAGGAAAAGGAAAAATTCAGATTCTACTTCTGGTCTAATACATGCTTCTTGGTCAGTGACACATTGTTTCTCTCCAGTCATGGCAATATAATCCTGGAGAAATTTTTTAAAAAATTTCCTGGTGCTATAACAAACTCCTTTGTTTTCTTTCCTATATCCATTCCTCCTGGTATTCGGGGGAAAACAATTTAAGCCAGAAAACTCAATTATTTCTCCTAACATGGAGAGATATAAATCTAGAAAACTTACAGCATCTAACCTTAGGCAGATTCAGAAGAGAAAGAAGGAAAAGCCAGAGTTCTGACAAAGAGAAGGGAGAAAATGTTCTACCTGTCCCAGGAGTGGCCAATAATGGTGACGCTTTCTCAGGGTGCCCGGAGCATAAACATGCCAACCCCGTGAAGAGCAAGGTGCCACCAGAGAATACGCAGGAAACCACGGCTGCTGAGGGCTCTGTACCCAGAGTCTGCAAAACCTTCCGGTGATATTTTGGAAGCCCACTCGGATCTCCCTAAACGCTTAATTTTACAGAAATGAAAGAGCTGAGAATATGCGAGCTCACTCCTTCATTCCACCCGTGTGTATGATCTAAGTGCTGACTCATACTTTGCTATTTACCAATAATACTGATGACTGATGAAAAGTAGACACAGCTGACTACTTTATCATCCTAATGTAACCAGGAAGAAGAGAGACAAAGTAATTGGTACAAGAAGTACTTTGGTTTATTCAACATCTAATTTGCTAAAAGGATGCAATCATATGAAATGTTAACCATATAATTAAAAGCCATAAAAGTGTTGGGGGTCTTTTGGCTTTCTTAAGACATGCAATACCTGCTCCCACTAGGCAACTGATACTTCTCCTGGTAATTATTTGCTAATAAAATTTATTCCAGGTCAAACCAAGGCCTTCTGGAAATGATGAACATTTGCGGGGGGGTCAGGGGGGTCAGGGGGGGGGATAGCAGAGAAAACCAGCATATTGTAGAGAAATAGCAGAGAAAACACCACATTAATTACTTAAACAGGAGAGGTTTAATCCAAAAATAACTTAATGATTCATGAGGAACATTTCAAATAAATATTGCAAAAAGACATCCAAAATCAAGATGCTAGAAAACAATTCTAATTAAACATAATCCCTCCCCAAAGATTTCTCAGTACTATGAAATGCTTAAGGGACAGAAGTTTCTTCGTAAACAGAAACGATAAGTGTTTTTTAAAAGTATAATATTCAGGGAACTCTGACCTTCTGTGCAACATACAAAATTCAAAACAATATATTAATAACAGTGAAGGCTGAAATCTAACAATGACGTGTTTTCCCTTAACTACAATAAGCCTTGTATTCCCAAACAGAACACTTATGAGATGAGCAAAAGCCAAACAGTGTGGCCTGAGTGATACTAACTCAATCTGTGTTGTTTTTTCTTTGCTACAAATTGGGACACAATAGTGAATTTTGGTGCAAAGTTAGAAACTAACCCTAAGGTTCTAGAGGTAAAATCGTAACTTCCAGTTTTAATCTGCTTTTCAGCACCTTAACCCCTCATTCCATTTAGCATATTCCACAGGCTTCTCTTACGTCTAAACAACAGCATTTGCAAAAGCATGTTGAAAGTCCAGAAAAACAATCTGTATGCATGGTGACGAGGGGTGAAGGAAGGGGGGTTAGTAGCAACCTTGCAGGTTTAGAAATGGATAAACTTGAATTTTTGAAAATATGTTACTTATTAAAATAAATGAACAAATACATACCCTTGAGGAGAGAGTTTGTCTAGCCAGCCCGATTTAACCTTCTTCGCAGACGATCCATAAAAGCAGGCATAAGGAGATATTGGACTTGAGGAAATGACTGATGAATCAGCATTTCCACTCGTTGAGCTTAAGGGATAACTGTGCCTATTAACAGGGTCCAAGTTCAATACTTTTTGAGTCCTGGATTTAGATGCCTTTGAATTTTTTCTTTTTAAACTCTGAAAGCATTCTTCTACTGTTGAATATTCTGAATCTGCAGCTCCGCCAGTCGGAAAGTTGTTTTTGTCCTCTCGAGGTATCCAAATATCTTCCACTTTGTCTTCACTTACATTCTCCTTCCTGTTATCATATATGCTAAAGGGAAAAAAATAGTGTAAACGTTTCACAGTGCTTATGCCATTTAAGCCATCGGTTATTTTTTACATTTATAAACAACCCACCGCAGAAATTTCAGACCAGGAAAATCTTAGCATTCAATTAATCCACCTGATAATTTTTAAAATTCTTCCAAGAAAATTAAATACAAATCTCTCATTATCCTAAGACCTATTTGAACACTACTAGAAGTAGTATATTTTTTCTTGCGTATCATTTAATCCTATCTGCTTATTTGGGGGGCTGGGTACAGGTGGTAAGGATGGGAGACAGGCTGTATTCTTTGCAATACAATTTAAACATCTTCACCGGCACCATTAAGCGGCCAGCCCAACCCTGGTCCCTGGGCAACATCATGAACGACTAACTTATGTTTTTGGAGATCTTCTTCTAAACTCCTTGCCTCTTCTTTGACTCTCCACTCCCAGGACCTTATGTTCCATTACAATGTAATAGGACAGGGAGTCCTGTCTGATGAGTGCTTTAGTATTATTTTGCAACACTAATGAGGAAGAACCAGACCACACTGCTAGCTAGAAAATGAGAAAGGGTCAGGGTTACACTAAGAAGAGCGGTGTAGCATATACTATTTACTGGAACACATTCATAATAGCTAAGCATATCGCTATACATTTCAGGAATGACAAAACAGAGTCACTGAGTAATTGATGTGTAATAAAACCTATAACCCATAAAGGAGGTTTTTTCCTAATCAATAAAACATATGTTTAGGGGTCCAATTACATTCTTCTGGATACAGTGTTCTAAAAGCCAGAACTTCCTTAAAGAATGATTTAGCCTGGCCCCTTCCACGTTATGCATTATAATAGAGTCATATCAAGTGCTTGCTGAACTAGGATTTTAGTATCTTCCTTAAGTTTTCCTATTTTCCTTAAGTTTAGTTTCAACTGTTGAAGGGAAACCCACAACAGTGTTAGCCTTCAGAAAGAGAAGGATAAAATGGAAGATAAAACGAATGTTAAGTAATGAACCAGTAAACCAAGTCCTAATAAAGCTGAGAGAAAAACAAAATTTATGTTGGAGCCGTAGAAATTCTGATTAATTTCATGTGTGATCCAAATAAGTGGGTAATTTTCAAGCCACTTGTCAATGCAGAACGTTCAATAAAAAAATACTGTTACATTTGTGAAAACTCACATAGAGTTTTTTGCACTGCTCCTTTCTCCTCCATATTAACTAACTTCTTCTAATCCTTAAAATGCAATCACAGTCACCACATATTTGCCACATTGGGAAGGGGAGAGTGGTTTCAAATTAGAGGAAGACCAAAGTAATCTGTCACAGAACACACTTGGTCTACAGACTCTAAATTCAATTATTAAAATGAGTTCTGCTACTGACGCATTTAAAAAGAAAAGATTTGCTGCACTAGCTGGTGTGGCTCACTGGCTAGAGCACCGGGCCATGCACCAAAGGGTCGAAGGATCAGTTCCTGGTCAGGGGCACATACCTGAGTTGCGGGTTTGATCCTTGGCCCCAGTCAGAGCACGAGCAAAAGGCAACCAATCGATGTCTCTCTCTCATAACGATGTTTCTCTCTCCTCCCTCCCTTCCACTCTCCAAAAATCAATGGAAAAAATATCAAAAAAGATTTGAACTTACCAATGTTAACTATTTTCTTCGAAACATAATATGAGCAAGAAGTCAACATTGTGTAACATTTTATTCCAAAGAATTAATCATCATTAGTCATGACTTCATACCTTGATTGGACAAAAAAAGAGTTTCTTTCAGTTGTTGCTTTCCCTTTGAGTGTTTCTTCATGGGCCCAAAATTCATTCCTTATAGACTTTTTCTATTAAAAAAAATACATACATTTTTTTTAGGGTTTCAATATTCTACAAAGTTCCACAATATCTGGGTTTAGTTTTATTATCCAAATGTCTAATTGCTTAGGTCAATTATCAGTAAAAACAATGTAATTAGGAAGACTCCATTAAACAGTAGCCTTTGGATGCTTTTTTCAATAACTAATTTCAATCATTAATAACTCATCATTTCAAGAAAAAAAACAGAATATGCTAACCAAGAATAAAGTTTATTTACTTTTACTTTCCCAATATTTTTTGTCTTCTAACTTCTTTTTTATCATGACCAAGAAATAAAATAGCAAAGAGCATAGATACTGAAGAGAAAAGACTAAAACTGAATAATTAAGATATGTAACTAGTTAGAAGTCTGTATTTGGGTATAATGCAAAGCAAATGGGGAGGGAGAGAAGGGGTTGCTTGCTTTTGCTTTTTATGATTTTTTTTAACTTCTCTTGCACAAAACTTTGAACACACACTAACCCTTATTTCTGAAATCAAACTGAAAATTTGTTTTTGTAATATATATTTAAAGATAAAATTTTATCATGATTTTATGGAACAGAATTTTACTGACTGAAAATTTCATTCTTCAACATAACACAGTCTTCAAACAGCATGCAGGAAAATGAAGCAGCAAGTATAAACAGAAGAGTAAATAATATGAAAAAAATTAAAATGAATGGAACAAACCTTGGAAGTTTCTAGTCTCTGGAAGAGAAAGGTCTCTCCATAAGGAAAGATGGAAGATGAATTCTCCTCATTTGAATCTTTTGGGGAAATTATAGGATGAGAATGAAAAGATGTAAATAATGGGAAACATTGTTTTTTTAAAAGGCATGTGTTTATTTTAAAGCAATATCACAACTTAAGTTTTATTCTCTGAGGGTCCAAAATTATGCTCATAATTCTTACCCCCAAATAAACTCTTCGGATGTAGCACTCGCTATACATACCCTCACTTGTACAATAGTAAAAATTTACTATTTCTTAAAGTGTGATGTGTCAGATATATTTGTCCTTGCTAACCTCTAAGATCTACATTAATATAACCAAGCACATTTTCCACTGTTTACAATGGAAATTGTCATGGTGCCATTTTTTCCTTTATTTTATTTTTCCCATCATCGTTTCCCCCCCAATACCTCTTCCACCTCCACCCATACCTCCACAGTCATGATGCCATTTTTAATGTTAAACCTATATAATGAAAGGGTAATATGCAAATTGATCCTAACTATGGAACACCCAGGAACAACCAGGAACGACTGGTCACTATGATGCGCACTGACCACCAGGGGGCAGACACTCAATGCAGAAGCTGCTCCATGGTGGTCAGTGAGCTCCCACAGGGGGAGTGCCACTCAGTCACAAGCCAGGCTGACGGCTGCAAGTGCAGTAGCGGTGGCAGAAGCCTCTCCTGCTTCCTCAGCAGCACTAAGGATGTCCAACTGTGGCTTAGGCTCGTTCCATAGGGGGCCTAAGCCATCAGTCGGACATCCCCCAAGGGCTCCCAGGCTGCCAGAGGGATGTCTGATTGCCAGCTTAGGCCTGATCCCCCCAGGGAGCAGGCCTAAGCCAGCAGGTGGATATCACCCGAGGGGTCCCAGACTGCAAGAGGGTACAGGCCAGGCTGAGGGACCCCCCCCCCATCGCCAAGTGCATGAATTTTCATGCACCAGGCCTCTAGTTCCTAAATAAGAGAATAGTATAACAGCAAAAAATTAATCTTAATTCTACTATAACTTTCAATAAGTAATTATTAAAAATTCACTAGCAGAACAACTAGATGTTATATGACTCAAAATACCAGAATCCACTTAATATAATCCATCTGATTCCATAGCTACTAATACATCTGTAAATAAATTATTTCAAAAGAATTGCCACCATCTTTGAATTACACCAATCTATAAGAAAGAATTCTCAACACTTTCATTTTCTGATAGGGCAAAACAATTTTTAAAGGCTCAGTAGCAAGTATTTGTTTGCCATCTTATTGTTGAGAAGAATGTTCCTGAATTTGTGGAAACAGAATTTTCAGAAAAAAAGAAAAGCCCCTGTCAATGATCAATTCACCAGAGCGATGTCAGCCCTTTCCTGTTACCATGGCAAAAATTACTTTCCATAATCTATGTTCTGTAGCTCAAACTGTCAGAAACCACTTAATTCAGTTAAATGCCTTCAACTGTGGCTATTGATAAATGAAGCCTGTACAAAAAAAAAAAATCTTTTTACATCACCATGTGCAAATTTCCAGGTGTCTGTGTGTCTATTACTGTCTTTCATTCACTCACTTTTAAAGGTGTCTGAAGTAGTATGAACCCTAGCAGACACTATTCCCATTAGTCCCTATTCCTCAGGTGGGTTACCTTCTCCATCATGATTTAAACACATTTAAACCATCCAATGAGTGCTAATGATTTACAGAGACTTGAAATGCTAAGACTCACTGTGCTGTGTCACCGATTTTCCAGTTGAGGTAGCACCATTTCTTCTCTCACGGAAATAGCTTAAAGGAAAGGGGAAAAAATAGGTTAAAATAGATATGTAAAAGGATTAATTATAGAGACATACATTCTTTTAGGTAGCAAAACATATATTCAAAAGTAAATCTTATTTTAAATAAACACAATGGGCAAATTCCACAAATGTGTTTTTCTGAACAGCGTAAACGAAGAGATTTCAAAGAATTTTACAAGTGTTTCTCATATCCATAACTCGCAAAAGCAAACATATTTGCCCAATGCTAGTATGAACATAAAGCAATTTCAAAACCCCATCCATACCCATCTGAGAAACAAATTTTCTAACTAGATTTCAGTATATATGTAGTGTTTTTGTCATTAGTTTTATCATACTGAATAAAAAGCCTGCCTGGCTCTATGAGCACAATATCAAAATACACAAGACTTTTTTTTCTCAAAGATCTGATAGTCCTGGGGGAGAGACTTTACAAGCAATTAGTTAGTATACAACCTAACAGCAAGCCAGAGGAAAACACTGTGGAAGCAGAGGATAATGAATACCTACCACAATATGAAAGACTTCTATCTAGTTTTCCCTCTCAATGTAAAGACCTGGACACCTCTCCTCATATACTTATCTGTCCAAGTAACTAAAAGCAAGTAAATAAATAAAAAAAGAACAGAAATCAATAAAATAAAATATGAACAAAATTTAAGTGACTGCAACCAAAATCTAGTTCTTTGAAATGATCAATAAAATTGATCAACCTCAGAGAAGGTCAATAAAAGAGAGACAGAAGACATAAATTACCAATATCTGGAATGAAAGAGGGAACATCACTACAAATCCTATGAGCATGAAAGCGATAACTACAGATTACTAAGAAAACTTTATGCCAATAAATAATAAAATAAAATTGAAAAATTCCTTGAGATACAAATTAGCAAATATGACACAAGAATACATAGAAAATCTTGATATCCCTATATCTATTAGAGAAATTGAGTTTAGTAATTAATCACCTACCCACAAAAACTCTATGTCCAGATATTTCATTGATGAATTCCACCAAACATTTAAGGAAAAATGTGACACCAATTCTACACGAACTGTTTCAGAAAATACAGAAGGAGGGGTAGTTCCCAACTCATTCTTAAGTCAAGTATTACTGATACGAAAACGAGTCAAAAACAAAACTACATATAAATGTTAGATAAATAGACCCCATGAACATGAATGCAAAAATAATTAAGAAAAAGAAAATCAAATCCAATGAGATGTATAAAAAGGATAGCCCCAACTGAGTGGCTTAGTTGGTTAAACTGCCATCCCTTCTACCAAATAAGGTTGCGGTTCGATTTTCTCTCTCTTTCTTTCTTTCTCTTTCTCTCTCTCTCTCTCTCTCTCTCTCTCTCTCTCATCAATAAATATATCATATGCTTGGGTGAGGATTAAATAAAAAATAATATAAGCACAAGGCAGGAAAGCAAAAAAGAATAATATAAGCACATGACAGGAAATAAAATATGTTTAACATGGAAAAATCTATGTAAGTCACCAAATTTAGAAAATATGGGAGATAAATCGCATGCGCATGACCATATATCCAGAAAAAAACACTTGACAAAATTCAACACCCACTCATGAAAAAGCTCTCAGCAAACTAGGAATAGAAGGAAACTTCTGCAACCCAATAAAGGGCATTTATGAAAAACCTACATCATAAATTAATGGTTAAAGTCTGAATGGCTTCACCTAAGATTGGGAGTAAGGCAAGAAGGTCTGCTCTCCCAGCAATATTCACCTCATTTCAGAGGTCCAGACCAGTACAATAAGACAAGAGAAAGAAATGAACGGTATGCAGTTTGGAAGGTATCTTACAATTAAAAGGTATCCAGGTAAGCCAAAAATCCTAAAGAATATACTAAAAAGCATCTCAAAAAAGTAAATCTAGCAAGGCACAAGGATAAAAGGTAAATACTTTTAGAGTTCAATAATATTTCTAAATATTAGCAATGAACAACTGAAAAAAATAGTTTGAAAAGACAACTTTCATTGTGAAATGCTAAGGGATGAATTTATTAAAATATGAGCAAGATCTGCACATTGAAAACTATAAACATTGCTGAGAAAAATTAAAGAAAATCTAATTAAATGGAAGAATATATGGAAAACTGAATATTACAAAGACGCCAATACTTTCTATGTTAATCTATAGAGTCAATGCAAAAAAGTTACAGAAGTAAGTGAATGTGTGCATGTGTGTGTGTGTGTGTACGCGCGCCCACATATGTATGTAATTTGACAAGTCAATTCTAAAATTTATATGAAAAGGCAACATAACAAGAATAACTAAGAAACTTTTGAAGAACAGGTGAGAAGATTTGCTCCACCAGGTATCAGGATTTATTATAAAGCTGTAGTAGTTACACACTATGTTACTGATAAAAGGAAAAATAAGTACTAGATATAAAGACAGATATAAAGTAGAATAGAGTCCATAAATAGACCCAATTTTCATTTAAGACAAATATGTCAATCTTGAGCAATGAGGAAAGCAAGGTCTTCTTAATAAGCAGATCACTCGGATATCCACACAGTATAAACGACACTTCATGCCTACCTCAGACTATATATGGAAACCAATTCAAGGCAGATTATAAATCTCAGAGTGACAGGCCAGACAAAGCTAGAGGATAAAATAGAATATCTTCATGTGACTTAAGACACAAAAAGTTCAACCCTAAGGGAAAACATTGGTAATTTGAATAAATTAAAATTACAAACTTTTATTCATAAGTCACCATCAAGGAATAAAAAAGCAACAGGTAGATGCGGAGAAGATATATTCAACAAAAGGCTCATACCCACAGTCCATAAATAACTTTTAAAAATCACTATGAAAGGCAGAAAATGTAATTCAAAACAACAAACAGAAAAAAAATGGGTAAAATACTTGAAAAGGCACCACACAAAAGAAGATATAAGCATGGTCAATAACCAATAAAAACATTAAAAGGTGCTCGATTTTGTTAGTCATCAGAAAGTACAAATAAAAATCACAATAAAATATCACTATACACCCACCTATATACACAACCCAATGGGGTAGAGGGTCTGAAACAAAAGGAATGCACAATCACTTTATAGGAACAGTTTTGCATTGCCTACCAAAGTGGAAGACAATCATATCCAATAACACTTCGGAGCAATTTTACTCCTATGTATATACTCTACAGACGTGCACCTATAGATATGCTCCAAAATAAATGAATAAATAAAAACACCCAATGTATGTCCTCATGTAAATGAATAAACAAGTTATGGGACATTCACACAAATTCAACAACAAAAGTAACAAACTGCAGCAATATGGATGCGTCTCCAAAACACCATGCTGAGTAAAAGACACCAGATACAAAATATTACTTGCTATTTGATTCCATGTATATGGAATTCTAGAACAGGCAAAACTGACATAAGGAGATCAATAGTTGCAGGATACAGGGAGTAATTTACTGCAAGTGGACAAAAGAGTTTTTTTAGGGGGGAGTGGATGAGTGACTGAATGTTCTAAATCTTGATGTGGTAGTGGTCACACAGGTATATGTATTTACCAAAACTCATCAACCAGTATACTTAAAATGAGTCTATTTTATATGGAAATTAGATATAAATCTGACTTACATTTGTCTAGAAATAATTTATATATGCATGAAGACATATACTATCTATGCAAAATACCAGACCAGGTTGAGAATATCAAGTATCTGTCAATGGAATGACTATCATGGTATAGACCAGTGATGGCGAACCTATGACACGTGTGTCAGAGGTGAAAAGCGAACTCATTTTTTTGGTTGATTTTTCTTTGTTAAATAGCATTTAAATATATAAAATAAATACCAAAAATATAAATCTTTGTTTTACTATGGTTGCAAAGATCAAAAAATTTCTATATGTGACATGGCACCAGAGTTAAGTTAGGGTTTTTCAAAATGCTGACACGCCAAGCTCAAAAGGTTCGCCATCACTGATATAGACAATGAAATATTATACAGTAGTAAAAGTAGCTACAACCACAAGCACCAACACAGATGAGTCTCAAAGTTAAGTAAAATCAACCAGACTAAAAGAATACTCACTGTATTATTGTATTTTTAAAAAATTATAGAACAAAACTATATTGTTTGAGGCATACTTAGGAGGTAAACTTTTTTTTTCAATAAAGAAAGTAATTGTTATTTAAAGTCAAGATAAAAGTTGGCCCTCACTGGTTTGGCTCAGTGGATAGAGTGTCAGCCTGCGGACTAAAAGGTCCCAGGTTCGATTCCAGCCAAGGGAATTGCCTGTGATGCAGGATCGATCCCCCCCAGTAGGGGGCGTGCAGAAGGCAGACAATCAATAATTCTCTCTCATCATTGATGTTTCTATCTCTCTCCCTTCCTTTCTGAAATCAATAATATATATATATATTTTTTTTTTAAAGATAAAAGTTGTCTTTGGCAGGGGAGGAGCATACAAGTTTAATAAAGGATTACAAAATACTTCACCCTTTATTTGTTCATTATCTCCAGATTCTTCATACTGTTATTCTATATAAAAGGGTAATATGCAAATTGACCCTAATGGCGGATCAACCAAAACGGCCACTCAACCAGTTACTATGAGGCACACTGACCACTTCTCAGTCCTATTCCCTGGCTGGAGGCTGCCATGGCTCCCATCGCCCGATGGCGAATGGGGAACCGGGGGTGGGTGGCGGTGGGGGGGAGGGGCGGGGCCGGCTTCCGGCAGCCAGGGAACATGGCCCTGATCGCAGGCCAGGCCTAGGGACCATACCTGCACACGAATTTCGTGCACTGGGCCTCTTGTACAGCTATAATTGTTTCCTCAAATTTGTATGTTTCTGACACATGCACATATTAATGATTTGAACCCTTTAGTAGAGCAGCACTCAAATTTTCTACATATTTGTTAACTTTCTCTGATAATAAATATTGCTAATTCTTATGACCACTTACTACTATATGCCAGAAATAG